GAGAGAGAGAGAGAGAGAGAGAGAGATCCCACTGACCTAGCACACTTGATACACAAGTCCATCATGTAGCTGTAGCGGGCTGTGTCCACGGTGGGCACCAACATCTCCCGGATGTTGGGCTTGTGACCTTCGTTGACCTCTGCCTTGATCAGCGTGTTCCACGGCAGCCAGGTGCCTCGCCCTTTTTGCTGGCGGGAAAAACATCCAGGCAACACAAAATCATCATCGCAATCATGACAAAAACGTCTGTCTTGTTTGTTTGTTTGTTTGTTTGTTTGTTTGTTTGTTTGTTTGTCCGTTTGAGTAAAGAGAAAACCATTGATACAATAACACATATTTTATTCAGGGGGAAGGGGAGACTGAAAAAGGGAAACAACAGAGGGAAAGATGGCGCTCATGTGATGTGACCTAATGCAGTTTCGAGCGCCATAAAACCTCTACTAAAACGAACGAAGAAAAGATGGAAAAGGGAACACTGAAAGAAGGAAATAACAGAGGGAAAGATGAAAAAGTAAGACCTACAAGTGTGCCCTCCAGCCTGACTGAGAATGTCGGGGTTTTTTAATGTAGATGTTTCGTCACCCATTCACACTGCTGAGATTATTTCGTTGGCAGGCACCGACCCTGCTTGACAAAGGCCAACCGAGAATGAGAGGGATACAACGTGAAAAAGACAGAGATACTAGATCAAAATTCTCCCCACACGGAAATCGAACTCAGCTCCTCTGTCTGCCACATTTTAAAACATTGCAGATCTTCAATAAAAATGATCAATAGTACATGTTGGTAAATATTTGCGACTCATACATCAGGGCTGATTAAAAAAAACACATATTCGACTTATAATATTCAAACATATTTAATTTTGTTAAGTTTAAGTAATCAGCAACACATCGAAACAGTAAAATGTGATTAATGCCAGGAAAATGCAAGACAAAAACATACAAACAAGAGAGGTGAGAGAGGAAAAGTACGACCTACCAGTGGCACCGTCCAACCTCCCAGAGAGCAGAAGTAGGACCTACCTGTAGCACCCTCCAACCTCCCATATGGACAGTGACACCCTCCAACCTCCCATATGTACAATGACACCCTCCAACCCCCCGTGAGGACATGAAGATACTCACGTCATAGAAATAATCATAGACCGTGTTCTCTGGCGGGAACATCACGTCTAGCTTTTTGATGGCGTCTGGGATGGGGTGCTGGTCGTGTTTGCCATTCAGGAGCTCAGCGTAAAACTCGTTGAACTTTTTCCTCCCGTCGTTGTCGATGCAGCCAGCGATGGTCCAAGGTATAGAGAACATCACTGCTCCCTGAGGCACAACAGGCAAAACCAGAGGCATTCGCGAATACGTAGGAATCACTTTCTGACAAAACTGGAGACATTTGTGTATATATTAGTTTAGTTTTAGCAGAGGTTTTACAGCGCTCGCAACTGCATAAGGTCATATGAACCTTTGTGTATATGAGGGAATCATTTCATGACAAATCCAGAGATATTTGTGTATATGAGGGAATCACTTCATGACGAATCTAGACATTTGCCAATATGTAGGAATCACTTCATGACAAAACCAGAGATATTTGCAAATACGTAGAAATCCTTTCATGAAAAAACCCAGACATTTGTGTATATGAAAGAATCACTTAGTTCACTGATTTCAAAACCAGCTCAACATTTCATGCTTCAATAGGGAACAGTTTAGAAAGACTTACTGAAACATTGTAAATGTTTTATACGAAATTATGCTTTGACCCTTCCTGTCATGGTCATCCTTAGCTGAGGGGGACACAGTATCACATCAGATAGAGAGAGAGAGAGAGAGAGAGAGAGAGAGAGAGAGAGAGAGAGAGAGAGAGACAGACAGACAGACAGACACACACACACACACACACATATATACAGAGAGAGAGACAGGCAGGCAGACAGACAGAAAGAGAGAGAGACAAGGATTTTTAAAAAATACAGTACAGATAAGGTTCAATGACAAAGTTACTACATAAGGTTAACAAAACTCATCTGGGACACAGACAGACAGACAGACAGACAGACAGACAGACAGACAGACAGACAGACAGACAGACAGACAGACAGACAGACAGACAGACAGACAGACA